GTGCTTCACGCACAGCGGCGCAGCAGCAGCAGCAGCAGCAGCAGCAGCAGCAGCAGCGGCGGCGGCGGCGCAGCCAGGCTGCTGCGGCACGCAGCGGTACACGAAGCTCTGCGACCCCGACCCGATCAGCTCCCCCAGCGTGTACACGCACGGCGGCGACCCCAGCTCCAGCCGCTGCCAGCTGCTGCTGCTGCTGCTGCTGCTGCTGCTGCTGCAGAGCGGGGGCGCGCCCGGAGAAGCCAGCGGCGCCTCTTCCAGCTCGTCTGCTGTTGAAGCATCTGAGGAGTGGCAGGGGGAGTAGACGCACACCGAGCAGCAGCCCTTTGCTGCGCCCACGGGCCCCAGCTGCAGCCCCTGCTGCTGCTGCTGCTGCTGCTGCAGCTGCGCGTACGCCGGCGCCCCCTGCCGCTGCTGCTGCCCCTCGACGGAACGCGGGGGGCTTCGCCGCTTCGGGATCGGCAGCGTAAGCCGCCTGGAGGGCGCAGCAGCAGCAGCGGCGCTTGCTGCCGCCGCCGCTGCTGCTGCTGCTGCTGCTGCTGCTGCTGCGGGAGCGCCCCCAGGCTCTGCAGCAGCCTCGCCCGTGGGAGCCGAAATGTATATATTCATTTCAAATGCTAAAACGAAATAGAACAAGACAGAAGGGCCTCGAGCATCTTGAGGCCTCGGGGGGTCCTGAGCGCGTCAGGGGCATTACAGTCCTACGCTGCAGCTTTGTGCACACGAAAGACGCAAAGCTGCTGCTGCTGCTGCTGCTGCTGCTGCTGCTGCGGCCGCTGCTGCGACGGAAAGACAGACACACGCCCCCGCCAAGCCTGCCGGGCGGCGGGAGCCGGGAGTCGCTACAGCGGCAGCCCAGCGGCTGGAAACGGCGCAGCAGCAGCTGCAGCAGCAGCAGCAGCAGCAGAGAAGGTACTAGGGGCAGGCCAACGCGCACAAGTTCTTTCTTCTCAAGAAACCAAACAAATGCGCCGGAGGAGGCGCGGCGGGGAAGGGCGCGGGCAGGACCAGGTGGGGGGAGAGCTGCTGCTGCAGCAGCTGCTGCGCGTGCAGCAGCTGCGCCTGCAGCAGCTTCTGCAGCCGCAGCAGCTTCTGCAGCCGCAGCAGCTTCCGCTGCTGCAGCGGCCTCTGCTGCTGCACGAGCCCCAGCAGCAGCCAGTTGGTCGCCGTTGATTCTAGCCTGACGCGCCGGGCTTTGTCAGGCTGTCGAGGGAGCCCCGCAGGAGAGCTGCAGCTGCTGGGGCTGCTGCTGCAGCGGGCGGGGCTTCGGCTGCTGCTGCAGCAACAGCGGCAGCAGCAGCAGCAGCGTGTTCAAACGGCTGAGGCGCGGGGGCCCCAGGCGACTTTGGGGGCTTTAGGGGGACGGTGAGAAGGGCCCTGTGGTCTGTGTCGTTTAGAAAACGCATTCAAGTTCGCGGGGCAAGGGCAGCAGCAGCAGCAGCTGCTGCTGCAGCAGAAGCAGCAGTGAAAGGCAGGGGCCGCCCCACTGCTGCGCAAACCAAGGAGCCATCCGCTGCGGCTCCTTGAGGCTGGCGCCCCTCTTTCAAGTTTTAGCAGCAGCAGCTGCAGCAGCAGCTGCAGCAGCTGCTGCGAGGGCCGCAGCAGGAGAAGGTGACCCGGCGGCGGCGCAGCGCGCAGCGCGCAGCAGCACCCAGGGCTCCTCGGGGGGCCGTCGAGCCTGGAAAAGCGCAAATTGGCGTTTTTAAAGAAAACAAAAAGAGAAAAAGAGAAAAATTAAGGAAAGGCAGGGAGAAAAGGCTCAGATCGAGCGGCGAGGAGGGGTGCACGGCCGCCCCGGGCGAACCAGGAGGTGCTGCAGGTGTGGGGGGGCAGAAGCGCCCCCACGAAGCCCATAGGCAAACAAGAAGCTGCGAAATAGCTTAGAAATGGCCTCTGGGTGGCAAAGAAGCTGCAGCGGCGGCGGTGAGCTGCTGCTGACGCTGCGCGGCGCCTGCAGCAGCGGACGGCGGCAGCGGCTCTGCCGGGCGCAGCAACTGCTGCTGCTCTCCTCTTTCGTTGCCTTCCGCGTTCATATAACCCTGAAAATGGACTTTCCAGGCGCTCAGAAGAAGCTTTGAAGGAACACTGGCTGCAGATGAGGGGCCTGCGGTGAGCCGGGAGAGGGGCCAGGGTGCGGCGGCAGCATCAGTCTTTCTGCTTCTGCTGCAAACACCTACGCGGGGCGCCGTTCGATGCCAACGAGAAATAAGCTTTTCTATTCTTTTGTCCCGAAATTACAAGAGAAATAAACCCTAAAAAGGCGAATTCAGCCGGCGAAAGACACCGCAGCCAACCCTTGCAGCGGGTGGCGCTGCTTTCTTGCCCGCCCGCGCCTCTGCGCCTCTGGCTGTACCCGCCCAGACCCAGCAGGCCTCTCTATACTCTTGAAAACTCTCCTTTTCCTTTTATTTCATTTAAAAGAGAATAAATACCTTTTTGCGGCTCCAGACTCCCCAGCGAGACCCTCGCCAGCCAGCCACGGGCCTCGCTGCGCGCAGCTGCTGCTGCTGCTCTGCTTTAGCCGCTGCAGCAAGTGCCCTTCACCTCACTGAAATTTACTTCTACAGCCCTTTTTTATCTTCTCAAAAACCCCGGGTAGGCCTCACGAGGCTGTAGTCGCTCCCCCAGAGCCACTGGGCTCTTGCTGCGCCGCTGCACTGCTGTGCTGCTGCTCTGCTGTGCCGCTGTGCTGCCGTGCTGCTTCCTGCAGCGAAGCCAGTAAGCCTAAGCAGCAGATGTGCAGCCTCGCGCATGCAGCAGCAGAATCCTCATTAACTCTTTAAATCAAATTCTTCGCCAACTTCTGCAGCTCCCAGCGCTGGCCGTGGCGCAGCCGCGCAGCTACGCGCTGCGAGCACAAAAAGCCAGCTGCTGCTGCTGCTGCTGCTACGGCTACTGCTGCTGCTGCTGCAGCTGCTGCACAACAGCGGAGATAAACACTGCTGCTGCTGCTGCTGCGGCGGCAGCACAGAAGCAGAGATAGAAACTTGCACGCCTGCTGCTGCAGAGCACCTGCTGCAAAAGATGATACTGCTGCTGCTGCAGCGCAGCAGCTGCGAAACGTACTACTACTACTGCTGCTGCTGCTGCTGCTGCCTGCATCCAGCCTGTGCTGCAGGGCCCAGAGAGCCCGAAGGCATCGGGGCAAACAGGGGGCCCCAAGTCCCGGTCTCTGTGCTGCATCAGAAAATTCAAATTTGTGACCAAGTCCACAACCCACTCATCTGCATGCAGCTCCTTTAGTTCTTCAAGTGCCCCCTAGGAGTCCTACGGGGCCCCTGGGGGACTCAACGGGCCCCTGGGGGCCCCAAGAGGGGCGCCTGGGGGCCCCTGGGGGCCCCTGGGCGCCCCTGGGGGCCCCTGGGGCCCCCTAGGGGCCCCAAGAGGGGCCCCAAGTAGGGGCCCCTTAGTTATATGTCTAAAAGCCATTTTGTTTTAAAGAGAGAAGCTGCTGCTGAAGAGCTGTTGAGTGCAGCGCGTGGAGTGTGGGGCCGCGTGGGACTGCGGAAAGTGGCTGTGTTGCTGCTGTTTTGCCTATAAGTCCTTCCCGTTGCTGCTGCTGCTGTTGATTTTGATGCTGCTGCTTCTGCTGCTGCTGCTGCTGTTGCCACCCTCTTAGCTGGGCCATCTCCCATTGGGGGCCCTTGAGCGGCAGGGGCCCACTAGCTAGCAGTTCACTTGCTGCTGCCTCTAAGGGGCAGTCCTCAAATGCAGCATGCTGCAGCAGCAGCAGCAGCAGCTGCTGCTGCTGTTGGTGCGGGGATTTAGAGGACGCAGGAGCAGCCCCACAGAGAAGCATGATCTCCCCCAAAATTAAACACGCATGCATGCACGCATGCGTGCATGCATTTGGGGGCATGCATGTATGCATATGGTGGCATGCATGCATGCATGCATGCATGCATGCACGCATGCATGCATGCATTTCGTGTTTTCAGGTGTTTGCAAATCTGCCCGAATATGAGCATTTTAAATGGCTATTCTGCTGGAGCTCCACGGACACATATTATCTATTATAATTTACTTTATGAAATGAACATTTAAGTACAGCAGACAAGTCAAAATATATCATTTTAACTCCAAAATAAATAAAAACAAATTCCAAAAACTCACTACAGCCCCCTGTCTTGGCGGGGCCCGCTGTCTCGAGACTTAGGGGCCCCTAGACTTCCTTGGGGGCCCCCAGAAGGCCCCCAAGAGCCCCGCTTTGGAGGCCCTTGGGGGCCCCCTGGAAGGCCGTAGAAGATTATGGGGGCTCCTTAGTGGCTGGAGGCAACAAAAGGGCCCCCGGAGGCCCCTGGGAGCCCCTGCAGGACCCATGGGGCCCCTGTTAGACCCTGGGGGCCTCTGGGGGGACCTGGGGGCCCCTCAGGGCCCCGTATTTGGGCAATTTGCTTCTCGGCAAGTGCAGCTCCAAAAGCTGCTGCTAGTTGGGGCCCCCTTGCTGCTGCAGCAGTGACCCGCGCCCCGCGGGGGCCCCCTTGCTGCCCTGCCAGGGGCAGCGGGGCCTCCCAGTGGCTACAGAGTGTACCCAAACCACAGCCCAGGGGCCCCCAGCCAGGGGCCCCCAGCCAGGGGCCCCCAGCCAGGGGCCCCCAGATAGGGGCCCCCAGGCTCCCGGGAGCAGCAAGTGCTGCAGAAAACTGAGAGGTCGGTGCTGCGTAGCCTAGAGGCGGCTGGGCGAGCCCGGAGGGCCCCTGGGGGCCCCCCAGCCCCAGTGACGGGGCCCCCTGGGGAGGCCCTGGAGCCCTTCTAAGGGCCCTAGGGGCCCCCAAAACAGCCACGTGGGTAGTGGCATTTAAGAATAAGGACTTCAACTGTTGAGGGGCCCTTCATTTATATTGTTTAAATATAATAAGTGTATAATATAAGATAATAAAACATAATACAATTTAACATAAATATAATGTATTTTAATTCCCTCCGGGCTGCTGCTAATTGGGTACTGTTGGCTGACAACAAAGAAGCAACAGCAGCCCCAGGGCAGCCTGCTTGGAAGCCCGCTGCTCCGCCTGCAGCGGCAGCGGCAGCAGCAGCAACAGCAACAGGAGCAGCAGCAACAGCAACAGCAGCAGCAGCCTTGCAGCGACCCCTGTTCCGTTTGCATACAACGCACCTAACACGCAGATATTGGCACCTCTCTATGCGCTTTCTGTTAACGTCTAATATGTATTATCACAAATATATATACTTGTATATATGAATGCATATATATATATGTATATAATCATATATATATATATATATATCCACATGCATATATACATCTAATAATACATATATATACATATATATTATATATAAACTGCATGCATAATAGACCACTTATATTAGCATTGCATGTCTTCAAAATATTCACTTAAGAGATAATTGTGGGGCTGTGGAGGCCCCCATAAGGGTCCAATGCATGCAGCAAAGTCGGAGGCCCCAAGGTCACTTGGGGTCACCTGGGGCCCCTACAGGCCTCACGGGCCCTGCTGCAGCCCGCCCTGAGCTAGCTGTGGCTAGCTGCAGCTAGCTGAGGCTGGCTAGCTGGCTAGCTGCAGCCAGCTGTAGCTAGCGGCGGCCGGCCGTGGCTAGCTGTGGCTAGCTGTGGCTGGCTCTGGCTGGCTCTGGCTAGCTCTGGCTAGCTGGGGCTACTCGCTGCGTGGTGTGGATAGCTGCGGCTAGCTACGGCTAGCTGTGGCTAGCTGCTGCTAGCTTTGCCTATCCAAGCGCGGCAGTAGACCTGGGCCTTAGCCTTAACGCCACTGCAGCCCTGCTGCCGAAGAGGCCTGGGGAGGGAGCAGCAGCTGCTTCTGCTGCTGCTGCTTCTTCTTCTGTGGTGTTCATACACCCTAAAGTGTGCAGGACGAGCTGCTGCTGGTGTGAAGCGCTGAGGCGCTGCAGGCAGCAATGGCTGCTGCGGTGCTCGAGACGCAGCAGCAGCAGCAGTAGCAGCAGCGGCAGCAGCGAAGCCGCAGCCGCCTGCAGCGGGAGCGGCTTCTTCTCAGCTGATCTTATCAAATAAAATTAATTAATTTAAATTATAAAACTGCTTCGGAGTCTTTCACTCTGCACACCTGCTGCAGCACCAGCAGCAGCAGCGACTGCGGGGCCCCGGCAAGTGCGCGGCGCAGGCCGGGGCCCTGGCGGCTCTCCTGGACTCTGCAGACAAAGAGAAATGAAATAAAAAGGAATGAAGTAAAACAGCAGCAAGCTGCTGTGCATGCACCTCTAATGCATGCAGCAACAAAGGGGCCCCCTTGGCCTGCGCCTGCAGCTTTCGTCTCTGCTGCCCGACGCAGCAGCAGTACGGCCTGGCTTCCTCTCCGTGGGGCGCCTCCAGCCCTCGGACTCTAATCGCAGCAGCAGCAGCAGCAGCAACAGCAGCAGCAGCTGCAGACTGAAGCGCCAGAGGCGCAGCGAGCAGGGCGCAGCGGCCCAGCATCGACGAGCCACAAAAGGCGCTTGTTGCTGTTGCTGCTGCTGCTGCTGCTGCTTGAGGCAGTAACAGTTGTGAAGCTCTGACGGCGTGTAGGGGCCACGCAGCTGCAGGTCCTCCGCAGCAGCTTTTGCTCCCTCTGGACTGCTGCTGCTGCTGCTGCTGTTGCTGCTGCTGCGAGACAGCGCAATGCCTCACCAGCGCCACAAGAAGGCATTTGGCTGTGTTGCGTGGGCCCTTGGATTTTCCCTCAGTTGCAGAAGCAGCAGCAGTGGCGAGAAGAGCAGCAGCTTCTGCTGCGCCCAGCAGCAGCAGCAGCAGCAGCAGCAGCAGATGCTGCTAGCTGGCATGGGGACCCACTGCAGCGGCTGAGACACAAATGGCTGATATTGGACGGGGGCCCCCCGGGGGGGCCCCTGGCTCTCCCTGCCATCTGACGGGGCAGCCAACCCTGGCCACTGCAGCGCAGCAGGCAGTAGCAGCAGCAGCAGCTGCTGCTGCTGCTGCTGCTGCGTCGCAGCACAACTCTGGCACAGGTGCCGCAAATGTTGCGGCTGGAGAAGGCGCTTTGCAGCAGCAGCTGCAGAAGCAACAGGATGCTGGAAAGCATCAGCAGCAGCATGAGCTGCTGCTCCAAATGAGGATGCGACTGCAGCAGCAGCAGAAGCAGCAGCAGCAGCAGCAGCAGCAGCAGCACTGTCAGGCAATGCTGCAAGAGCAAGATATCGGAGGAGGTCTCGAGGCTGAGCAGCTTGAGGAACAGCAGCTGCTGCAGCAACAATTGATTCAGCAACAGCAACAGCAACTGCTGCATTTGCGGCAGCAGCAGCAACAACTCCTGCATCAACAGCAGCTTCCGCAGCAGCAGTTACTGCAGCAGCAGTTGCTGCAGCAGGCACTGGAGCAGCAGCAGCAGCAGCTGCAGCAACAGTCGCAGCAGCGACAGCAATACCAAATACTGCAGCACCTGCAGCAGCAGCAGCGCGCGAGGCCCCAGCAGCCAAATACGGACAGCCACACTCAGCAGCAGCTGCTTCTGCGTCTGCAGCAGCAGCTGCGGCAGCAGCAACTACAGCTGCAGCAGCAACAGCAGCAGCAACGGGCACAGCAGCGGCACCTGCTGCAGCAGCTGCAGCAGCAGGCCACACAGCGGCCACACGCAGCCCAGCAGCAGCAGCAGCTTGAATGTAAGGTGCAGCAGCAAGAGCCACAAACACAGCAGCTGCAAGAGCAACACCGTGAGCAGCAGCAAGAACAGCAGAAGCGTCAGCAGCAGCAGGAGCTGCAGCAGCAGGAACAGCAGCCGCAGCTGCACCAGCAACAGCAGCTTCAAAAGGAGACGCTGCAGCAGCGTCTCTCTCTGCAGTCAGGTTCCCCGCAGCTGCAAGAGCAGCAGCACAGTTTGCTGCTTGAGGCGCAGCAGCAGCTGCTGCGTCAG